AGCAAACCTAGAGAGAACAAACTTGTGAGTCACAAATAGAAGGGTTTTGAGGGTGTTGCTTTCAGGTTTACTGGGGGGGAGGGTGGCAGAAGGTGGCCTAGGTAACATTCTCTGGATACCCTAGGCATTCTTTTTTTTTCCTTCCCCACCCAGGGGTCAGATGGCACAATCTGGGGACTGAGGAGCTCACCCCGAGGGCCGTGACAGCTCACCCTGAGCAGGGAGCCGAGGGCAGCCCGCAATCTACAAGCTTTTGAAAGCAGGGAGGAGATTTAATTTGTTTTTTATCTTAGCCCAGCACAGGTCATTGGATCAGTTCAAGATTATCATTGTTAGGTACTGTTGAGTCAAGTATGACTCACAGTTAACCTATGAACAACAGACCTGAACCTGCCCTATCCTGTGCTCGTTATTTATTCATTCTTATTTGCTGTGTGCTGGCCACCAGAATTAGAAATGAGGAAAGTGAAGCTGAGAGAAGGAAAATGGACTTGTTCTAAGAGATAGACCAAGCACCCCATGAGGCAGAGCAAGCACCTCCTTCATGGAAGTTTTGTACCTTTCTTAGATCATTCGAGGTCCGCTAAGGGGCTCGGTGGAGCTTCTCTGTGTCATCTCCCATCTGTTGGAAGTTGCCCAAGATGGATGGGAGCTCCAGACACATGAGGCTAGAGCAAACCACCTACCTACATGCTTGAGTGCAAGTGTTCATTTTCCCACCTGGGGACAGCAAATGCCTGGGAAGATATCTTCTTTCATCTTATTTATTATATACTGAAAGTTTATGGAGGGTACCAGGATCCTTCAATTTTGGGTGTCTCTTGGGCTTTATTTAGCCCCCTATCTGGGCCTTGCAGGTGGATGACCTGTGTAGTGTCTTCACAGGAAGGTGGTGTGCAAGTGTGGCTACACTCGTGAGCAGCACTCGAGAGAGGCCAGGAAGCCCCTCATGTTCCAGGGTATGACGTGGGACCCCAAAATGCACATCAAGGAGACGTCTACAGATGCTTTTGGTGAAATTGCTTTCACAGGCCTGGGGCAGAAGGTGGGAAAGGTAAGTTCCATTGCTCTGATGCTTTTCATTGTAGGTTCAAGGTCATTGCTGGTGGTCTCAGTGGTCCCTCAACAACTCTGAGATGGTGCACAACAATTTCATGAACCTTATGATGATAATACATTGACCCCGTGGCTTATTAGGGTGGGCAAATTGGGGTGTGCAGTTTGGGGCAGGCTGGTTAGGGTAGACGGGTTGGGGAGGTAGGTTGGCATGGGAAGGTTGACTAGACTGCTTGGGGTGGGCAGGTTGTGGTGTTGGGTTGGGATGGGCAGATAGACTAGATTGGGTGGGTGGGTGGGTGGATAGGTTGAGATAGGTAAAATTGGGTGGGCAGATTGACTAGAATGGGTAGAGTGGGCAGGTTGGGAGAAGGTTGAGGCAGATGGATTGAAATGGGTAAGACTGGGTGGGTAGGTTGAGAAGACTGGATGGGGTGGGCAGGTTTAGGTGAGCAGGCTGGGGTGGACTGTGGTCCTTCAGACATGTTGGTCACGATCGGCTACCACGTGCTAACCCAGGGTCTCCTCTTACTGTCCTTTCTCTGTAGTATGTCCGAGTCTCTCAGGACACACCTTCTCATATCATCTACAAACTTATGACTGAGCACTGGGGCCTGGAGGTTCCCAACCTCTTAATCTCAGTGACAGGTGGGGCCAAGAATTTCATCATGAAGCCGAGGCTAAAGAGAATCTTCCGGAGGGGTTTAGCCAAGGTGGCCCAGACCACAGGTGAGAGCTTGAGATGGACATGAGGCCTTATCTGCACTGGTTCCTATTGAGGGGTGTATCTGGGAAACAACGTGGGGTGGAGGTGGAATGAGCAGGCATTTTCAGGGAAGACATGCCCCAAGGCCAAGTGATGGCCATCAGGATTGGAAAGGCACTGAGACCATAGAGTCCACACCTGTGTGAAAGGCCTCAGGCTGCTGTAAAAAGAACTGCACAGCAGGGGATTGCAGTGGCAGAAATTTATTCTTGAGGAAGGAAATCAGACTTAGGATGTTGGCCAGAGTTCCACTTCCTCCCAACGCTCTACAGGAGAATCCCTGTCTCTATCAATGCTTAGTGGCTCCAGGCATTCCTTAGCTTGTGCTGTCATCATGTGCCTGTCCTCTATTTATGCATATATCTGCTTCTTCTCTCCTAAGAATTAACTCATCTTGCTCAGATATTCCTATTCCTTTATATTAACTAATTACATCTGCAAACATTGTAAACAAGGTCACACTCACAGGAACAAGGTTAAGGACTTTCACAGACCTTTCAGGGTATAGAATTCAACTCACAGTACCCATTCACCTCCTGATTTGACCCTTTGCCTGGGTAATGAAGCCCTGGGTCAGACTCACCCAATTTCTAGCACATCCACGGATGTCCCATTATTGGCTTCCAGCTCATTCAACAGTTCCAGTGTTTAAATCTGTTAATAGCATGCACCTGTTAGGTGGGCTAGAGTAACAAGCTTATGAAATGGTATGGACAAATGATTCTGGAGGGAGAAAGAGTAGGTTGAATAGTTCATCATGGAGATACTAGCAAGTGTTCTGAGAACGAGACTCTGTACCTGTTACCTAATCTTTCTGTCAACTACTGGAAAGTTTTAGGTACCATCCAGCTTGCCTGTGACTCATAACAATCCTATCAAAAACATCTACACCTTGCCCTATCCTGAGAAGTGATTCAATCCAGCAACTTTTCTATGGGAGAAAGATAAGCAGTCTCCTCCCATGTGGTTTCTGACTCTGAAAATTCACTGGAGGGTTAGTTGAGTTGGTTCTGACTTGGCAGCAATGAGTTTGAGTCTAGTTGAAGTCAAATAACTTCACAAAGTCACATGATTTGACCCCACACTGGCCAAGACTTCTACATTGTGTTCTGAAGAACCTAAAGTGCCACACGGACGGAGCTTCCTTCAGAGTAAAAATGAACAAGTGGAATGTCTATGTCTCCCAGGTGGCTCACACTGGGGCAGGGTAGCAACAAGGAAAGGCATGGGGTCCAGATGAGCAGAGAGGGTTCCAAAGCAATTCCAAAGGCTTGGCTTTCAAAAAGATATGAGACCATCCCTTGGTTTGAGTCCCCCCCCCCCAAAACCAGTTGCCATTGCATTGACTCTAATTCATGGCAACATCATGTATATCAGAGGACAATGTGCTCCAATCAGAAACACCTGGGCATTTCCCTGAAACAGTCTTACCTTGAGCCTTAACTGGCCTTCCTTAGTTTTACCATTTCCCAGAGGACAATTACTTGGAGCAGATGTTGGTGGGCAATGAGGAGGGCAGCTGTGGCAGTTAACACCCTTGGCACCAGCAGTAAGGAGATCAGGAAACATACTGCATTGTGTAAGTCCTCCGTCAAGGATCTCTCCAAAATACTTAAGAATAATAATATTATCGTGAAGGCTAAGGAGTGTATGATTCAGGCTATGGTCTTTTCAATTACCTCCTCTGCATCTGAGAGCTGAACAATGAATAAGGATGACAGAAGAATTGATGCCTCTGAGCTCTGGTGCTGGAGAAGAGTACTGAATATCCTGTGAACTACCAAAAGAACAAACAGATATGTCTTGGAAAAAGTGTAGTCAGAGTGCCCTTTGAAGGCAAAGATGACTTTGGACATGTTGCTGGAGTAGGCTATTCCATGGAAAGGGATATCATGCTTGGAAAGGTCAGTGAAAAGAGGAAGATGCCCAACAGGATGGATTGGCACAATGATGGCAGCAGTGGGCTCAAGTACATCATAGGTGATGAGGATGGCACAGGACATGGCAGTGTTCATGTTTGTGGGGGTCACTAGGAGACGTACTCAGCTTGATGGCATCTAACAACAACAGGGGACAATGAGGGCCAGATGTACATATCTCCCTAGAAGTCCCAGATTTTGAGACTCTCTTTCTTCCTTCAAACCTCTCTGCAAATTGACTGAATCTTTTCTTGGATGTTGTTTTTGTTACATGCCATCGAGTCAGAACTGACTTATAGCTGACTCTCCAGCAGGTTTTTAGAGGGAGTAAATTTTATGGGAGGAGATGGCCCATCCTTTTCCCATGGAGCAGCTGGTGGATTTGAACCGTGTGCTTTTGGGATTGCTGTGTAGCTTCTTGCTATTAGGTTATGAGACTTGGTAAAATGAAACTCACTGTCACCCTAGTGCACTGGAGATCTTGGAAACTTCTTTGCCTGATGCTGTAGATTCATTAAGTCTCACCAGCCTCCTAAGCAATTGTGGGCAATAGTTTCACCGCATATTTACCATTGGATCATTTTAGCTTGTTATGTCACTGTTCTGCTACCCACTGCCTGTCCCAAAGCCATGTATTTTAGATTTTTAAAATTCACAGCAGTGCTGTAGCCTTGCTTTTTGGTGCTATTTTCTGTGGTACTGGTCAATATTGGACAGGTAACCAACAGCCCGAAGTGAAAGGAAACATTGGTTTGTGCTTATGGTTCAAGGCAGTGGCTGTGGGTCAGGGCTGCAGCTCCATTCCACATGTCTTCTCAGTCAGGAACAAGGGCCAAAAGAACAAATCTTACTTGCGACCAGCTGCTCTGTGGCAGAGGGAGTGGAGCAAAAGCAATCTGGTGTGAACTCACTATGCTCTGAGGTAATGATTGTTTTACTCACCTGCATGCCATTGACCAGAGCAGGGCCCCTGGCCAAACCCCTCTGTGGGATGGGGAAGCTGATCCCCTAAGCGTAGTATGCCCTAAGGTCACCGTGTACGGGTGTGATCCTTTACAGGGAACAGAGAGCTGGATTATGACCTACTGCACATGGGTCCCAAAAGGTGAGAGGAAGAAGGGAAAATTCCTGGAGTTGAAGAATAAGTAGAAGTAAGCATAGAAATAGAAATAATAGAAGAAACAGGGGAAAAAAGTAGAAGTAGATATTGAGGACACAGTAGAAGAAACAGAAATACAAGTAGAACTATATTTCTGAGAACTTCCCCAAACTGGGACAGTAGGGAGATATGAAGGACATGAGAGAGGGTAAGAGGGTCGGAAGGTAAGCCCTTGTTCCTGTCCTCTCCCTTTTCCTACCTGAACAGCATTGAAAGCCATGCCCTAGGGTTTCTGAGCTGCAATGTGAATACGTGCTCATAGTGTACCTTCCTCTTCAACCTTTTGAGAATCATACCTGCTAATAATGGTTTTGAGACTTCCTTACGTAAGAGAAGCTAACACCACTAAGGAGTGAGTTTCATTAGCAGTGGAAGGATCTGTCAGGATTTTGCCCGAGAGCTGGACCTGTGCATCTGTGGCTCTTCTGACTCCCCTGCTCATCTTCTGCAGGGGCCTGGATCATCACAGGGGGGTCCCACGCTGGTGTGATGAAGCAGGTGGGTGAAGCAGTGAGGGACTTCAGCCTAAGCAGCAGCTACAAGGAAAGTGACCTCATCACCATTGGAGTGGCCACGTGGGGCACCGTTCATAACCGCGAGAGTCTGATCAACCCCAAGGTGAGAAGGGCTTGCCTGGGGTAGGGGCTGCTCAGGGTGGGAGAGCACTGGGAGGCAGAGAGTTCGAGGACCACATCCACAGATATGCAGTGGCTGGTCCACTACCCAGCGACCCTGGTTCAGGAGTGCCTGCCCATGCCAGGAACTCAGGGATCTGGAACAAGCAGCTCCTCCTGACTGGACTTCAGTTTTCTTCTTCAAGACCATAGAGAGGAGCCACATAAGAACCATCTCAAAACTACCATGATTTCAGGGTCATTCCCATGGTCCATAAGAAACCATGAAATAGACATGAGGAGGGAAGTGTCTTGGCCAAGTTGACCAGTGAATGGGCTCAGGCTGTTTGACTTCACAGCATGAGTTTTGAACTTTAACCTACTGAGGTCCCTCCCCTCAAAAAATAAGAAGACAGTTGCTGTTGAGTGACCCATAAGTGTCAGAGTAGAGTTATGCTCCTCAAGGTTTTCAGTGGCTGATTTTGAAAAAGTTGACTGCCAGGCTTTTCTGCTGAAGTGCTTCTAGGTAGGTTCCAACTTTCATCCTCTAGGTAAACAGATGAGTGTATTAACCATTTGTGCTATTTAGAGACTCTGGTGTGTCTGCAGCCTGAATTCTCTGATGGTGTGATTCCAGGTGCTCAGAACACACCAGGAGCTCCCATTTGAGAGGGAAGATAAAGCTCACCTTGCTGTTTAATTACTTTGGCAAAAAGAATCAATGGCTTAAATACAGACACTGGAATTGGAAATGGTCATGTGATTAATTCATTAACATTTTTTAGAGACATGTCCACACATCTAGTAAACTCACATAATTAGGAGTGGTCAGGGCACACTTATCCAATACTTATGGAGAGGACTCCTCTGTAGCTACCACAGTGTGGCAGCCGTACATGGAGTCCTTCATCTGTTCTGGCAAAGGCCACTTGTACTTAATTCCAGGAGTAGAGCCTCTTCAGTGTGGTGACTCCTTTGTCTGTTACAGATGCCTATGATGCCAGGCACTGGCTCATTTAGACTGGCCTGTCTTCCTTTAGTGTTAGGATCTGAGATGGGTGAAGCAGGGCAGCATTGAATTGACTAACTTGGTCTTTCATGCCAGTTTTACTGGTTGGAAAACTGGGATTAAAAGAGAGTAGGCAACCTCCAAGATCCCACTCTCCCATGCTTCCCACTCCAAGTTCATAAGGCTTCCCATTTTACTCCCATTCTCCTTGGACATAAGTGGAAACTTCTCTTGTGGATGCCAGAGGAAATGTGTCTTGGCCTTCAGCTCATCTATACCTTGTATGCAATGGAAATGTATTCTCTCTGAGTTCTGGAGGCTGAAAGTCCAAAATCAATGTCAGCCAATCGAAATAAGAGTCTCTAGAGAATTCATCCTAGTTTCTCCCTGCTCCTGGTGCCACCTGACATTCCTTGATTTGTGGCTGCATCATTCTACTCTCTCTCTCCATCTTCACATTGGCCACTCTTTAGCTGTCTGTATCTAATTCCCCACTGCATCCTTCCTATAAGGATATTAGTCTAGTTACATAGTCTAGGGTATCCACCCCATCTCAAAGTTGAGTGGGTTTTATTCCCAGAAAAGGTGACAGTTACAAGTTCTAGGGATCATTGTTGCTACATGCTGTTGAGCTGGAACCTACTCATAACTGCCCCTCCAGTGGATTTTCAGAGGCTGTAAGTCACATGGGAGGAGAAAGTCCCAGCTTTCTCCCAAAGAGCAGCTAGTGGATTAGAACCTCCTACAGTTGGGTCAGCAACGCAACTCCTTACCTACTAGGCCACTAGAGCTCCCTAGGCTAGGGACTGTGGGACTAGAGGTAGTCCATAGAGTGTTGTGCTGCTAACCCAAAAGTAGTTTGAAGCCACCAGTGGCTCTGAAGGAGAAAGATGCTCAATCTCCCCCCATGTGATTTACAGACTCCAAAAACCCACTGGAGGATCAAGCTGTTGAGTTGGTTCCAGCTCAATGACAATGGAGTTTGAGTTTTTATGGCAGGGACATAAATAATGAGGGGCCATTATTCAACCTACTAGACCCAAACAGGAGTCCATTAGTGACATGGTTTAAGGTTTAAATTCAAACAGACAAAGACACATCAGAATAAAGGCCTGGCAAACTGCTTCTGAAAGCTTAGCCACTAAAAACCCTATGGAATGCCATTAACTCTGACACACATGAGGTCACCATGGATTGGAAACTGACTTCAGGACAACTTGTTTGGTGTTTCTGGTTTAGGCACCTTGCTCCTCACTTCTTGCACTATCCCCAGTGTCACGAGCCCTTGTGGCTCACTGGTTAAATGCTTGAAGGCTGAACAAAAGGTCATTAATTCAAACCCACCAGCCGCAGAAATAAATGAAATAGAAAACAGAAAAACAATTGAAACTATCAACAAAACTAGGAGTTGGTTCTTTGAAAAGGTCAACAAAATCGATACTCCTCTA